GGTGCCAGGAGAGGCCACTGACACCCCCTGATTTCAGAGCCTGGGAGCTGCGAATTCAGGCTTACTTTCCAAGATGCTGTAGCTCTTACTCCTTCTTCATGCCACTTACATGCCCTGCTGTGTTTTTGGCACCTATGAGGAGCATAGGTTACTGCTGCCTTCCAACTCAGCTCTGCTTGTGTGTGTGGCGCGTAAGTGCTTGTGAAGTCTCATGTACAGAGTTGCTGCCATTTCCTTTGGGCTGATTTAATTTTTTAAGCTTTACTCTAATCAGTGTACTGTTGCATGTTTTATGTTTATTTAAAATCTCTCCTTATATATGCTTTAGTTATATCTGAATGCTTCTACAAACCATTACTATAGTTTACATTATAAAGTCATAATTTTAGGTGACATGCTCTACAATGATTTTTTTTATTTCTCAGGGCCCAAGCTTTGTGAATGTTTGTAAATCCATCCTGTAGTGAGCTTCAAATTGCCTGGTAATCCCATCTAGCTGCAGCTCTTTGTATTTTTTGATCCCACATATGATGCAAGATTAAAAGTGACATGATTGTTACTGTAAGCAGGTGTTCATACCAAACGAGGTGGTCATCCCTCTGTGCTGGTTACATGGTCCTGCTTTTCCACTGGACCTTCCTGTGCGCTGGTACATCATGCAACTAAATGGTAAAGCTGATCACAATTAAATTTAACTGATTTCCTTGTTGCTGGTCTAGTTGTAACCCAATCCGGAGAATCAGAAACATATTTAAAATCTTTATTTTTCAACTGATCTTTCCACTATACCAAATCACAGCAGCCAAACCCTGCCTGATGTATTTTATGCTCTCAGTAAGGTCAAGTCCACCTGAAGAAATAAAAGGGACCTCAAAAGACATAGCCTTAGGATCCAGAAATTGCTACTCATGATCCAGATTCCCACTGAAGAATTCCTGGAACTCACCCTTGTCCTGCTTTTCCCAGCTTATGCTTCCTATGTTCTGCTTTAAGGCCTGCTGTCATGGTTATTGGTACTTAATTTCTTTAACAGTTACTTTTTTTTAAAGTGGGAAATCACCAAAAAAGATCAAAAGGTGAGTTAAACATCTGTTGCCTGAGATGATGCAGAGGCAGAGTGTGGAATTAAACCCAGGCACTTCACATAGTCTTCAACTTGGTTGGTAACAAAACGGGGTTCGGTATTTTTTCCAAGTCTTATCCAATTCCCCTCTCTAATCACTGAAATGTGCCTTATTGGTAAGGTAGCTGCTGCCTGTGACTTTATGCTCAGCTCGAGTTACTGTATCCTTCGTTCAGTTGTGGCTGTGCAGAGCATGAGGTGGGACTGACCCTTATTCTCTAATGCCAGGTTATGCAATCAGATTAAGGAGCCATCTGCAGCGCAAACTGAAACTGCGCTATAATCGCGTTCCCCGGCTCAGGCAGAACTTCGGCTTACGCAGGATCTGTGTCTCTTTGAATCATTCAGCAGTCTCCCCGCTACTCCTCTCCTCCTCCTGCGAGCTGGAAACACATGGCAAGAGATACGGTCAAATATTTCAGTGATTAAATCATTAACGCTTTGAGCACGGGTCAGCTCGGATGCCGTTTCTGAGGTTTAAAGGACTATTCACGGCAGTTCAAAAGGAAAGCAAAAGCTCACCCTTCATTATTATATGCGCTTTGCACGGACTTGAAGACAAATCGTAGGTCAAAGCTTGCTGCTTCTGCCGCTCTGCTGTCGACAGCAGAATTATTAAGGGTTTAATGCAAATGCACCTCATGCGTAGTTTTGTAAAGTCTCGAAACTAAAAATAATGGCTTTGATCAAGTATTTTCACAGTATCTATTTTAGCTAGTCGTATGCACAGCAAGGTCTGGTCATCACTACCGGAAATAGCAGAGCATTCTCAGTCTTTTTTTGGTCGCTAAAGTCACCTTTATTAATTTAAAGTCCTTTTCAATTACTAAACTGGAAAGTGGCGCTGCAAGTCGTCTTTGTCTTCCAAGATCTTCACGGAAGGCACGCGAGACGGATCCCTGACGACACATGCTGTGAAAAGTTTTAACAAAGGACCGAGCTTCGATGGGTCTCGGTCCGGAGAGACCCCGGCGGCGGCAGCGCAGAGGGTGGCGGGGAGCTCCGTCCGTCCCTCCGTCCGTCCCTCCGTCCGTCCCTCCGTCCGTCCCTCCGTCCGTCCCTCCCGCCGCCGGGGCGGGACCGGGACCCGCCGGCGCCCACCCG